TTAGCATTAGAAAGTCAATAAACATCAAGTGAACAAAGCCAGATTGGCTGGTGGTAAAATTATTTTAAGTAACTTATCATGCAATATTATGCCACGGTCATTAAATGATTTATATAAATAAAGTTTGTGTGATATGAGATACATACATGAGATACATATAAACGTACAAATTTTCTAGCACTTATTATTGTTACTTGATACAAAATTAATAGCGATTGAGCTTTTTAATGGCCTTAAACAAATATTTATCTTTACACTAATGCCAATATACTAGTTTTATGCCATTACATATTAATAGTTAGCTAAGCCAATATTTAAAAAATCGACTAACTTAGTCAACTAAGTCGGCTAAATCGACTAATACTATATCGACTTGAAATACTAGGGTCAACCCAAGGGTCACCTGTAAGTCAACCCACAGGTAACCCGTGGATGTAAGCAAAAAAATCAAGATTCTAATGATATTTATTGAAAAAGTTTTTAAAAATGCTTAGAATCCGGCTTAAAAATAGGGTTGTAATTTTTTCATAATTTATCAGTTATGTAATTTACGTAAAAATACATATTGTAAAATTGTAAATTTTCATAACACAACCCTACTTAAAGGTCTGCTAACATTTAATTTTTTGAACTGATAAGCATTCTAAATTTTTCAATTATTGCCAACGAAGATGCCTTGAAAGTATCATTTCTGTATTCAACTTGAGATATATACGTAGTCTTATAATATTTATATTAGGCCACACAAAGTTGAATTTTCGCTTTGCATTTCGAAGTTAGGTTGGGCAGTCAAAATTTTTTTTTTTTTGTTACTAATCTAAACTAATAGACTCATGTTCTTATAAATTTTCATGTAGCCAAAGTCTTTTAATCTCTAAAGCTTGGGGCATAATAGTTTAATAGCTTTTTTTCTAATACTAGAGGCAACCCAAAAGAATTGAGCATATATTATATCAGCCTTCTTGCTTTGAAGATCTGATATTATCGAGTATGGTTGGACACCAGTTATTATTGAAGAGTCGACAGGTTTGGTCCTCTTTCTTTTTTCAACTCTCAGCTTTTTATTTGTATGCTCCATTTTCTCTACAGATCATTTGCCAGTGGGGCCTCAATATCATTCAAATTGTCAGTATCTTTTCTTTGTCTTTTTGCTATATAGGCTTCTTCGATCCTACTTACCAAAGGATTTTCAGATATTGACACATATCACCCTCCAAAGATGCATCTTTTAGTTTAAATACTAGAACTTATTTTTTATTTGAGCTATCATAGTCTGAGCTTGTGGTTTATTACTGAATAAATTGCTAATATTATTTTAAACATAACTTTGATTATTAAATTTTGGGGCTTTGGGGCTGTTTCTAGGGTTATTATCTTATCAGTTTAAGTTAGAATATTCTCTTGTATAATGACCAGGTTGTTGGCAAGAGAAACAGATAGATCTATAACTACTTTTATCTTGGCAGCTTATATTAGCAGCAGGATGAATAATATTATTATAATTATTATTGGGGCCACCTTTAACTGCCATTGCAACTTCCTGAAGCAACGAAATCATTTAACCTATTTTACTTTGAGTAATCATATAGAACAGTGGGCTTGTCATTTGTGCTTGGGATTGAAAAGATATTAATGACTGCAGTGATATCTAAGATAGCAAAACTTGTTGCTGTTGTGGTTGTGGCTGATCCAACAATAATGGTTGTATAGCTTGCTAGGTTGGTAAAGCCCATGATTTCTGAAAATAAGATTGTTGAGGCCAAGATCCAAACATTGTATTATAAATCGCTGCAGGTCTACATGTAGCCAAGCCTCTTGCAAAGATCATTTTACATGTTTGTGCATGATCAATCACTTCTTGTAAGGTACAGAACATGAATAGGCTAAGAGTTATAGACAAATCAGATTGAATACCTTGTATGAACATCTGAGCTTTTACAATTTTAGGATATTGGTTATCTACTTTTGTTATTCTTTGAAATAAAACAACATATCTGTTGTATATTGATTCACTATTTCTCCAATATGTTGGTTTCTTGTTAGGAATTGGGTATTCTACTGTGTGATCAAAAAATGTGTACAAAAATTGGTATAAAATTAATGTACAAAGCTTTGTCAGGATTATATTTATTATTCTAATATTGTAGACCCAGCCTTTCTGTCCTTTGATCTTTCTACCAAAATGTTGCAAGTTCAGAAAAATAAGCACTGACTACCACAAGTCTTCTATTTTCTATGATATTATTAGCTTGAAATCTAACTACTCTATTGGATCTTGGTTATCACCTAAAAAGATCAGTATATTCACAAAATGATATTCCTTTATCTCAGATTGAGTTTTTTGTTGTTTTGTCATGAGGTTTGTCATATGTTGAAGAAGCTGGTCTCAAGATGGGTGGTATAAGTTTGTTCTATTGAAGGGTCAAGATTATCTACCAAAATAGATTCTTTTAAAGAGTTATCATTGCTTTGCATGAGGCTGTATAACCTTGCTGCCTATCATTATCATTCATTTATTTTGTTAGATATCTCCAAGCATTCATAATTTCAACAACTAAAAATAAAATATCCAAGTTATTATTTGTTCTTCTTTATCATCTTCTCACTTTATTTCAGCACCAAACAAATTTGGATTTTGCTCAATAGTTATTTAATACAGAATAAGTTACTTAAAATAATTTTACCACCAGCCAATCTGGCTTTGTTCACTTGATGTTTATTGACTTTCTAATGCTAA